GTTTCGACAAGGTTTTTTCATCATCATGATGACAAAACCTTGTCGAAACGTTGTACATTTGCTGTTATGTTAAACTTATATTAAAGTTTTCTTCATTACCCATTCAAGCCGTCTCCAGCCATTACTAATAAAGATATGTTTTTGTTAACTTTCATTTGATATGTAAGTCCACAAGAAAATGCAAATTTTTTAACATGCATAACAAATTATCGATTTTAATTAGATTGATTAGACTATTTCAGACAAACAGAAGCTTTAATATCCATGGATGTGTCTAGAAATATAGAACATTCACACAAAGTTACCTTGAAAGCAAAATGTTTAATTGGAACAAAAAATAGATACGTATACGTCACTTACATTTAAAGTGTAGTTTTGTAAGACAAACTCAGTTCCCCTGTAAACCGTCTTTTTGACTAGACATTTCTGCTGCTGTAAATGTAAACTCATCACAACCTTTCCAACTATGTGATATTACTCCAAACAGTGTAATTTACCTGATATTGCTAAGCAACACTTTCACGTGCGAGTATGAGTAAATATTACATAACATAATGAAATAGTTTAGCGTAAGACTAACTTTAGAAACATCCAAAGGCCGGCGAATATATATTTTTGTAACCTCCTAGGGCTAAGCCATGACAATTTTAATGGCAAAAACTGGTTACTATCGCTTCTTACATAGAAACTTTACTTTTACTTCGTGTAAATAATAAAATGGTGTTACGAATGTTCTGTATATTACTTACGTTAATTTTTTTAATTTTTTTCATCCATTTTCAAAAACAGTGTTTTTGGGTTTAATTCAAATATTTCATCCAGTTTATTTCAGTCCTCGTTTTTACTTCCTATCGAAATAAATCATCAGATTACTTATCTTCTGTGGTTTTGAGATCATTGTTGATTTTTTATTTGCTGTTATTTAAGCCTCATTCAATATAAGTTTTAACCAATCATATCTTTGAAAGAATGATAAAAAAGAATACTTCGATAGCTAATTTTTTTCCCATTTAGCATTCAGTCTCTCTTGCTTTTCTGATACTATGGTTTGAAAAGCTTAAATGTGTATATATTTTTTACCACACTTTCCATACCTCGATAAACTCTGCTTAAGAAAACGTTCATCGTTCATAAGAAGCACAAAAGTATTGATTTAATAATCATTGAAAAAAAATTCATTATTA